CCACTGGGAGTTTAAAGAAACCTTTGGAAAGTAATCAGTGGATGGTGAACTTTTCGATTCAAGATGGCCGCCACAACTGACTGACCTTAAAGAAACTTGAAGTGTTTGTGACATTAATACTTCAAATACAAAAAGTCAAAGAAAACGTTTTTATATTTAAGAAACTTGACATAATAACACACTATTAAACACATTTAATTGTGGCAGATTTTCTTTTGATCTTGGCTCAGCTAAAGTGAAACAGGAAGTGACATCAAAGGGGAACTCTTAAAGAAAACGAACTCTCTGGTCTTTGTTTATTGAGATATTATTATTCCAACTCTGTCTCAGCTTCATGTCTCTGATAGAAACTCAAAATAATTTAAAGAAACATCAGATTCTTCTCTACGGTCTGTGTTGTTGGACATTTTATGATTTCTATGGTCACATGCAGACATTCCCCTTTGACATCACTTCCTGTTACTTCATATTTAAATATCTCAACAACTGTTCATCTCAGCAGCGTTAATTTATTTACTGCAATATGTTATTAATGTTATCTTTTCTAAAATGCATTCATATTTATTACAAAAAAATTGATGTCACAGATACTTTAAAACAAGAATGTTTTCTACTCTTCTTCCTTTCTGATGATTCTCATCTCCTCCTCCTCATTATCATAGCCCCGCCCCCATCTTCAGACCATCACTCAAATCTGTAGACGAGTTACATTTCTAACTCTGAAAACATCCTGAAATCACGGCTGAGAAGAAAAAATTCCTCCACAAACACAAAGAGTGTCCAAAACGACAGGACGTGTCCTCCGGAGGACCCAGACTACCCGATCGAGGTGGGCCGGGTCCTTGGTAGACCAGGAAGACCGGAAAAAAAGAGGCTGTGAATTTGGACGACTAGCCTCCCCTCCTTACGTCATGTCACCTAGCAACTATAACAACGCTAAACAAACTTAAATCAAAACTAGAAAATATCAATAAATTAGCATTATTAATATCACAAAACAATAAAATTAACTTAAAGGTAACATTTAAAGAACTAATTGACCCGCTGTAGGTTCATGTTCATTTCACGTTTTTTATGACAAAAATAATATTTAAAAACATGTCCATACAAATGATAAAAGTATTAGAATTACAACTGCTAAAAAAATTACATTTTTATATTGCCATATTTTTATTTAAAACGTATTCTTTTGTCTCGCTTCGTCCGCCATTACTAGCATTAAAATAATCTCCAGTCGGGCCTCAATGCATTATGGGATATGCTGGGCCGGGAAGGATCCATCAGACCTGTCCTTCAAATCGAGGAAAAGGAAGGACGTATTTGTCGGCCGCATCGGAGGAGTCTTCGGTTTGGGACGTCCTTCGTCGCGGCGCTGTGACGTATGCGGCCGACAAATTCGGCCTTCAGAGGACCCGACCTGTTGTTTTGGACACAGCCAAAGACGTGATGTTCGTTCCTAAATATTACCTGTAAGGTCTTTGAGGAGGAGGAGGAGTTTCACGCATCTTGACAGGATGCATCTGTGCTCGTCTCGCTCCTGGAGGCGGCCATCTTACCTCACTGAAGCCTCGGTTCAGTCCTCCTGTCTCACGGCCCGGTCGAAGAAAAGGCTTTAAAGGCTTTAAGTTGTTTTCTTCTTTGTGTGAATTTTTTTAAAACAAAAGTTAGGCCCATTCAAGATGGCCGCCACAGCTATGTGACCTGATGAAACAAAAAGAAATGGCTGCAACTCTTAGTTTGAGCTGAAATCGTTGGTCGTCATCCAGAGAAATCAAACTAAATGTCTTTACAAGGGTGATTCCTCAAAGAAAAACACCTTAAATTTTTATTAAAAGTACAAATTAACATCTGGGACATTTCCTCACTTCCATTAATCGTGACGGCGTCTGCGGTCGGGCTGACATGTGAGAGGAACGTTGGAGGACAGACACACGGCTGATAAATAAACCATCGGACCGACTGACGGGTGTCAGGAGAAACAAAATCAACTGTCGCTTCACGTCAGCGCCGAGACGTGACGGGTCTGAACAGACGACTTTGCAGGGATTGTTTTCCTCTGCCTCCACTTTCTGCTCGTTTGTGACGGCGGTAAAAAGTTCTGGCAGCTTCTTTCTTCTGCCATCTGTTGCTCTTTATTTCAGATTCATCTCTTTCATGTGAGACGAGCCGCGGTGAATAAGCTGCTCCTGGAAAACTTCACAGGAAAGAGCGACGACGGAGATCATCCCGAGCTCTTTAATCACCGTTTGTGCTAAAAACCTGCTTAAAAACCTCGGTTTGATCCGTCCGACAGAGTCATAGAAACTGTTTTATTAAAGACTTTGTTCTTTATGTGAATTCCATGTAAAACTGCAGGAAGAAAGTGCTTCGGTTTCAAGGTGAGAGCATTTCTGTGCCGACAGGGTTAATTAAAGGTTTAAAAGAACAAAGGCGTTAAATACAAAGCTACAGGAAACTCTAACAGATGTTAAACGAAAAGTTACATTTGAATAGAAAAGATAAATATGTTCTTCTGAAAAACCTGGAGACGAGCTGAGAGGACAGTTTTATCAAACCAAACCAGGAAGTTATGTAAAAATATGAGACGAGATGAAGCTTAGGAGACGAGACAATGATGTGAGACATACCTAAAACAAGACATACAGCAGGTAAAATAAGTGTTGAACACGTCACCATTTTTCTCAGTAAATATATTACTAGAGGTGCTAATGACATGAAATTTTCACAGATGTCGGTAACAAC